TTTTTTTTTTACCTTATTAATTAATCCTTTGTTTTATTTTACAATAACTTAATTGTTAATTTTCTGCTATCGTTTGTTAGGCAAACCAGTCTTTTGTAAGGAGTCTTTTACCTGATGGTGATTTTTCTCTTCTTATCAATGTCTTGAGAAAATTCCTCCGCTTCATTAAGCTCACGGTAAGCAAGTAACAAGACTTCTCTAGGTGATAATGGTTGATTATGAAAATTATGTGGTTTCTGGAGCTTGCCTCCCCTTTAACCCTTTACAGCCTAACATCAGTATGCATATTCTCCACACTGTTCTTTATACATTTCTTAAGGTGCTGACAGGGAGAATTTGTTTGCCAATCAAAAGGTTCCTTCCCTGGTGATCATTTCCTCTATTCTCATGACCTTAATGTGTGATTCAGAAGTGATATTGTAGGGAGAAATTAGATGTGAGTCACTTTTAGGGTTTAAAGGTTAAGAAAATGTCGCAATGTTCTGTAGAAAGTCTGTATTATAGCAGAGCTTGCAGAGTGTAGTCCCATAATTATACAAAATAGTAGTAACCCATCAAGCCGAAAAAAATTTGGATGTACAACCGTACAAGGTGCTACCTTTAACATGCGCAGTAACTGTACCACTGGCACGCCAATGCCACGGCTTTGTCTGGTAGTACAGTGGTCAGAGCACTGGGCTCTGAGTTGGACAACCCAGGTTCTAGTCCTGGCCAGGGCAAGGCGTTATGCCCTTGAGATGTGTGGGGAAAATAAATGCAAGCTCCACTTTTAGGCTTGGCTAAATCTGTATATTATTACAGTTTTACTGCATTCCATAGATACATTAGTGTCTCTTGTTTGTGTCAAGATACAAAGAATGTTGACATCTTAACGCTTGTTTCATCTTAGAGTGACCAGCATCTAATTTCTCCATACAATATCACCCCTGAATCACACATTAACCCTTTAACCCCCATGAGTGACCAGGACAGAATTTCTCCTTACAATATCAATACAGTATCAATCAGATAAGTGATGAGAATAAAGATAAATATAAGTTCGAGAATTTTCTAGTAGATCCAGTACCCAATTCTCAGAAGTAGCATCATAAGAATGGTATGGCAGACAGAAAGAAGAATTAAAAATGAGATCTTGGGCATGATAGGGTTGAGGTCATGAGAAAAACAAAAAAACTAAAGAAGCTCAAGATTTTAAAACAAATTCTCCTTGTCAGCACCTTAGGAAATGTTTGAAGAATATGCATTCTGATGTTAGGGTGTGAGGAGTTAATGGTACATGTATAGTATATATACTAACTTTTTGTTTTTTATTCTTATAGAGTGGCACAAGTGGCCATGGAATTGAAAAAATTGTTAAAGTATTGGAAAGTTGCAAGTGAACCAAACAAGCCAAGTTGTTTTGGGAAACAGTAATGATTTACCACAGTAGTCTACTGTTTGTAAAGTGATGTACATTTTTTTATTTCTACATAATTATCACCAGATGAAAATTAAATTCATATCCAGCACAGCACTTAATGAGACAAATTATCTACAATCTGGATCACTGTATATAAATAAGTTAATTTGTTCCTTTTTGTGCTCCCTTGAGACACATGGGTTGATGATGTAAATTGTGCATGTCTCACTTGATTGCAAAGGATGGCTGTGGATAGGCTCTCATAAGATTAGCATGTGCACTGTAGATCAGCTTGCATTCTATACCAGTTCTTCCATATATTTCAATAAAGTTTGCATTGTCTCAACATTTCTCTGTCCCTTGGCAAGCATGTGTGGTATAGCCAACCATATTTTCAGAGTCCATCTTGTGTTATTTTTAATATTTTCTCTATTATGGGTCTCTGCAAGAAAACACTAATGGTAGTGCTAATGCTATGGAGGAAGAAAAAATGGCAGGATCTGTGGCTCTGACCAATCCTTGCCTAACTTTGTGTTGGTACCTTTTAACTTAACTTGTTTCTTCATTTTTGTTTCGGTCACTGCGTTCCTGGAATAGGCTAGAATTGGAACAACTTTGGAAAACAGGCCCACTAGGGTCCACCTTGTAAAAGAGATGGGAAGCTAACAACAATCACCGTTAACTCCCTAATGCCTGAGAGTGAATAGCATCTAATTTCTCTAAACACTATCACCCTGAATTAAATATTTTGGTTATGGGAATAAAGGAAATGATCACTAACTGAAGCAGCTCTTGATTGTTAAACAAATTCTTCTCATCAGCACCAGGAGATGTACGGAAAACACAGTGGAGAATAAGCAAAGGTTTTAAAAATGCTATACAGAAGGAGTGCCATTCATGCACCCTGATTGGTCAGCTTTGGCCTGATTTGCAGATATTATTCCATCCTTGCACCCTGATTGGTCAGCTTTGGCCTGATTTGCAGATATTATTCCATTCATGCACCCTGATTGGTCAGCTTTGGCCTGATTTGCAGATATTATTCACCACCTTGTCCTAGATGAGACTAAATTGCACATCTAAAGCAAAATTTCCAACCATTTTACAGTAAATTGAAATTTGAACTAATATTTTAGATCTTGTGTGGTGCATGCTTAACCCTTAAACCTAACTTCAGTTAGTGATCAAGACAGCATTTCTCCTACAATATCGAGCAGATAAGTGAATAAATATCAGTTAGGAGATTATTAGTTGATCCAGTACCAAGTTCTCCAAACTAACATCATGAGAGTTCTGAGGCATAGAGTAAAGAGAATTACAAATGAGATCTGGGGAGTGAAGGAGATGTAAGAAAGTGGCCCACCAACATAACATCCAACCCATTCAT